ACTCCTACTCCTACTCCTACTCCTATCCTTATTCCTTATTAGAATATACTCCTACTCCCCCCTCAGGCCGGCAGATAGGGGCCGCATCCGGGTGGTCCCATCATAACCTGTAAAAAACAATACAAAATCAACATTTTCTTATTTTTTCCTCTCGACATGGACGTCCTGTCGTCCACGGCGATAATCCATTGCAAAAAAAATACCACAAAGAGCACACGCGCGCGTTCATGTCAGAATCCTACCGAACACCGTGTGTTTGCAAGCATTTCAACATAAAAACATCAAAAACCCAATGTTTTTTTCACAAAAATTCTAAACATTTCCTGCCCGGGCTCTCTTGCTGAAATCATAGGAAAACCATAGGAATCTTAAGAATTCTGTCAAATCCAGCGATTTCACGTCATCGCGCGGTGCACTCGCGATGCTCTGTCATGCACCCAGGCCGCGAATCCTGTGCAAAAAATATCACAAAGAGCACACTCGCGCGTTCATGTCAGAATCCTACCGAACGCCGTGTGTTTGCAAGCATTTCAACATAAAAACATCAAAACCCCAATGCTTTTTCACAAAAATGCTTTGGGGTGTCCTGTCAGACCGTCGGGCTTCCTCCGGCAACCTCTGGCTTCCTGCGGTGTACCGGGCCATTCTCGACTCGTCTGGCAATGCGTGCGCGGCATTCAACACGCGCTCGCCAGTTCCCGTCGGCAACCGCCATCGCGGCCGCATCAGCTGTACCAAACGGCTGGCCGGTGTGGGGTGACTTCGGGCCCCCCGTTGTGCCAGCTTTGCTTCTTTATGTTGTGGGAGGGCCGGGTTGGACTGGGGCATGCCATGCTTGACTCGTGAGCTGGCTTAGTTGCTGACTCCTTATCCATTTACTTCCGTTAGAATATGCTCCTACTCCCCCCTCAGGCCGGCAGATAGCGGGCGCATCCGGGTGGTCCCATCCTAACCTGTAAAAAACAATACAAAATCAAATTTGTTTTATTTTTTCCTCTCGACATGGACGTCCTGTCGTCCACGGCGATAATCCATTGCAAAAAATACCACAAAGAGCACACGCGCGCGTTCATGTCAGAATCCTACCGAACACCGTGTGTTTGCAAGCATTTCAACATAAAAACATCAAAAACCCAATGTTTTTTTCACAAAAATTGTACAAATTTCCCGCCCGGGCTCTCTTGCTGAAATCATAGGAAAACCATAGGAATCTTAAGAATTCGGTCAAATCCAGCGATTTCACGTCATCGCGCGGTGCACTCGCGATGCTCTGTCATGCACCCAGGCCGCGAATCCTGTGCAAAAAAATACCACAAAGAGCACACTCGCGCGTTCATGTCAGAATCCTACCGAACACCGTGTGTTTGCAAGCATTTCAACATAAAAACATCAAAAACCCAATGCTTTTTCACAAAAATGCTTTGGGGTGTCCTGTCAGACCGTCGGGCTTCCTCCGGCCACCTTTGGCTTCCTGCGGTGTACCGGGCCATTCTCGATTCGTCTGGCAATGCGTGCGCGGCATTCAACGCGCGCTCGCCAGTTCCCGTCGGCAACCGCCATCGCGGCCGCATCAGCTGTACCAAACCGGCTGGCCGGTGTGACTTCGGCCCCCAGTTGTGCCAGCTTTGCTTCTTATGTTGTGGGAGGGCGGGTGGGACTGGGCATGCCATGCTTGACTCGCTCGAGCTGGCTAGCTTGACTCCTACTCCTACTCCAACTCCTACTCCTACTCCTACTCCTACTCCTACTCCTCCTCCTACTCCTTGTCTCGTTTCTCCCCCCCCCCCTCCCTCCCCCTCCCCCTCATACCTCCTCCATAGCCGCCTCCGTCTCCGCATTCCTACACGCGTTGCGCGTTTGCGCGCGGTCGTGCTACAGGCGTCGCGTCGAACCTCGTCGCTTCGAGAGCGCATCATCATCAGTAGCGCAAGCATCGGCATC